GTCCTGCTGGAAAATGAAGTCAACATCACCATAAAGCTCGTCTGCGGAAGGAAGCATGAAGTGCTCCAAAATCTCTTGGTAGATGGCTGCATTGACCCTGGACTTAATGGAGCACAGTGGACCAACACCAGCAGATGACATGGCTCCCCAAATCAACACAGACTGTGGAAACTTCACATTGGACTTCAAGCATCTTGCAGTGTGTGCCTCTCCATTCTTCCTCCATATTCTGGGTCCTTGGTTTCCAAATGGTTTCCAAATGATATGCAAAAGTTGCTCTCATCAGAAAAGAGGACTTTGGACCACTGAGCAACAGACCAGGTCTGTTTTTCTTTAGCCCAGGTAAGACGCTTCTGACATTGTTTGTTGTTCAGGAGTGGCTTGACAAGAGGAATACAACATTTGAAGCCCATGTCCAGGATCCGTCTGTGTGTGATGACTCTTGATTCACTGACTCCAGCCTCAGTCCACTCCTTGTGAAAGTCCCTAACACTTTTGAATGGCCTTTTCCTGACAATCCTCCCAGACTGCGGTCGTCCCTGCTGCTTGTGCACCTTTTTCTTCCACATGTTTCCCTTCCACATAACTTTCTATTAATGTGCTTTGATACAGCACTTTGGGAATATCCAACTTCTTTTGCAATTACCTTTAGAGGTTTTCCCTCCTTATGGAGGGTGTCAATGATGGTTTTTCTGCACAACTGTCAGGTCAGCAGTCTTTCCCATGATTGTGATTCCTACAGAACCAGACTGAGAGACCATTTAAAGGTTCAGGAACCCTTTGCAGGTGTTATGGCTTAATTAGCTGTTTAGAGTGGGACACTTTGAGCCTAGAATATTGCACCTTTTCACAATATTCTAATTTTCTGAGATTGTAGATTTGGGGTTTTCATGAGCTGTAAGCCATAATTATCACAATTATGACAAATCACGACTTGAACTATCTTGCTTTGCATGTAATGAGTCTATCTCATATATTAGTTTCACCTTTTAAGTTGCATTACTGAAATAAATGAACTTTTGCACAATATTCTAATTTTTAGAGTTTCATCTGTATAACTAAAGCTTAGGCTAGAGATATGGTTAAAACCCTGCCAGGCATTTCTTTGCTGGTTGTATCCTTTTTATGACTACTAAGAATTATCGTTTTTGTTCACCTTCAGTCCAGGTAAATGATGATATAGATGAACCAGGGTATAAGGTATACTTCACTAGCAGGGAAACAGACATTGATTGTAAGCCCTCCCACTTTAAAAAATGAACACCAAAATCTCCGATCCTTTCCTTCCCATTTACTGCCCCCCTTTCTTTGAAGTACGCATGCACCCTTATTAAAAATAAAATGATATACATAACTCTTTCCAAGGTGTCTTCAGTTGGGTCCTGTGACATTACAGGTCCTCTTATTTCTTGGAAGGGGGTATAGCTTAAAAATATTGCCAAGAGCAGCACCGCATAATATTGCGGTGTCTCTCTCTGTGGCTTTCACATACATTCCATATCCATATACACTCGATTCCATATACACTTTATTCTAGAGTGGAATGCTGACATGCCTTGATAAGGTGAGTCCTTAATGCCCTAAGCAGCATTAGGACTTTCTAAAAATTATCAGACAGCACCAGAGACAGAGTGAGTATTGCAGGAAGGCTGCACTTTAACTTTTTTATGGGCATTTTTCTTTTTAAGGTATGCTTGAGTTAGATTGTAATGCGCTTACAGTATATATACAGGAAATCTACAACTGATTGTTTAACCCTTTTGTGACCAGGCCTAGTTTAGTAGCATCAGTATGCATCATCTAACTGTACAATAACTCTATGACAAATTTTTCTGATTAACATTGGGTCTGAGACCTAAAAAACACACATGCATATTCCTAGTTCTCTGCTGCAAGGTTAATTAATGTTCTCATGGAAAGGGGCATTTTACATTTGGACTTATAAAGTCATTATGGTGACAAAGGAGTTAATTGTCTTTTTTTATCAAAAAATATAATGGACCAGAAACATAAGATACTTATATAACTTCATTGTGGTCAATAAAATCTTATTATTTAATTATAACTAAAGGCAAAACTGTTTTTTTAAGTTTCCGATAGAGTGCAGAGGGATTAGAACACCTGTTTTATTCTTCCTCTCTATTTGTCATGTTTACTATTATCATTGAAAGTGAAAGTACAAGAAAATCCCAAAATGTGTGTTGTCCCCAGAAAAGTAGTAGAGGGGAAATCTTCCAATGGGAACACTAGTTCTGGTGACCTGGTGGCCCCAAAGGATTCCCTTAATTTGCAGGGATTTCATCTCACTACTTCTTGTTATGGCTATGGGACAGGAAGTGAAGGTAAATCTTTCAATGGGACAAAGATATAAAAAAAAAAGAAACTCGACAAGGGTTATAAACCTCCCTTACCCAACATTTTTAAAATAGATTTGCCTGTAATTGTACTTTAGGATCCCCATGAGATCCCTTTTTCAGGTACATACACTATTGTAGGCCCCACAGTTGAAAGAGTTATGATTTACAAATCCATAAGCAGTGCAATAGTAACATTTTGCTGCATGAGACCCTTTCTTCAGCTTTAGTCTTTCCTATTTAGGGTATTGCTTTTAATATTTGTTTGTAAACTCTACAAAGTACAGTATTCTGTGTCCAGCATACCTGAATTTACCTTGGATAAGCTTGTATACTAATGATATCCTTGTATTTTCAATGTGCTTTTAATATTACATTTGAGCATTTAACTATTGCTAGTGAAGGATATGTAAAGATGTGTCAGAATTAAAACAATATCAGAGAGACTGGATGTGATAGGTCAAGTATTTAAAATATTTGCAAGGATTTAGTCAATGCTTTTAGCACTCAATTGCTAATTATATCTGATTCCTTTGAGCCTTAAAAATAAGCAGTGTTCTTTGTTGATAATATAAAAATCTGCAACTACTGTACCTTCTGAAAAAAACAAACTTTGATAGGAGTAAACTTTAGATAAAAATGATTCTGAATTTTCATCCAGTGATTTCACTGGACTCAGGCACTGGCTGAAGGAGGCTCAGGGGTAGATCCAGGACCTGCACTTTTTGGTATAGAGTATTTATGGGTATGCTTATGGTTTACTGAGAATGGATCACTTTACTTCGGTCTTGTCTACTATAAAGAATAATCACAAAGCGTTAAAGTGTTACAGGTATTGGTGTGGTAGCAGTCATTATAATTTGCAAGAGATAATCAAGGGCCAAAAGAGAGATAATCAGGGGCCAAGCCTATCATATACTATATGAAGATAATGCCACATTCCCTAAGGCAATGCCATCATGTTTCCAAGGTTGAGAAAAACATTCTATGAAGCTTTGGGGGGCAGTAGTACCTCCTAAGAAGTACAACGTATTTTATAGTTATGTTCCTGCACTTTCCAAGGATCATATAGAGAGTGTATGAGAAAAAGTGAACATTTTGACAGTCCTTTTCTCATTGAAGTTGAAATGTGATTTAATGTGATTTTTATGAGTTAAAAATAGTTGATACAAGAGAGAGTTTGTGTGTTGCGGAGGTTAATGTTGAATGTATAGAATCTGAAATGTTAAGAATAAAAAATGTATTTGAGCACATGGTTTCAAAGGTATGTACAGGTTAAAGAGTGGTCTATGCAAAAGCACTACCTTTTGTAATGCATTGAGACTGAAGATTATCCCAGGAGATAATAAAAGTTGCAATTGGAATAAGTCTGAGCTGAATCCAGAAAGTCTTTTCCCATGTACCAATACTAGGAGTTTGTAGACTTTAATAAAATTGTAGGCATCTTAAAGGGAGCTTAAGGAACTTGGTATTTTAGAAATACTGAGGCTTGTAAGTGATTGATCTACAATGTACAGTGGCTGCTGTCAGAGTGGAACCTTCTTTGGAAAGATTTTCTATTGTGAGTACATACAGAAGAGGAGAGAGTGGATGTCCTTGCCATGTTCCACCAGCAAGAGGAAAACTAGAGAAAAGAGAATCAATGGTTTAAACCCTGGTAGGTGGGTAACTATAAAGCACCATGAATTTGGAAATCATGTGATCTGCCAAACCAGTTTAAATGAGAGATTTTTTTACAAGAAACCCCAATCCATGTCAAAAGTTTTCTCTGTGTCAACTGGTAGTAAATAGAGTGGAATATTTTGTTTTTAGGCCTGGGAGAGTAAAAGGTTGTCATAGAACTGTCATGTGCTACTCTATGTTAAATGTATCCTACCTGGTCTGTATGTATTAAAGAGGAAAGTAAAGGTTGTAGGCAATTAACGATCAGTTTGGAATATAAATAAATGTCTCTATTTAGGATAGAGGCTGATCTATAATTTCCCTGCTCAATCTACTTTTTACCTTTTGAAGATATCAGAAATATGGGCCTCCAACGCCTGGGGAAGAAATGACATGTTGATAAAAACAGCAACAAAGGACTGTAATATTAGTGGGGTTAATTCCTTCTGGATGATTTTTTTAACCTCCCTAGTGGTCTGATTATGTCCATATTTCTGTGCTCAAAGCGGTAAATTTTTTTGTATGGAAATATGTATTTTTTTATTGTAGGCCTGTAATTTTTAGGAATAACTCACTGAAACCTGTCTGAAAAAGAGTCTAGTAAACATCCCGGGTATGTTAAAATTTGAAACACGAAATCATAAATTATAATTTAATAAATAATCATAAAAAATAATAATATTAAATTTAATTCAATAATATAATCAAACCAAAAACACTGAAATTTTAAATTTAGCGCCAAGTTCGCACATCACTGAGCAAAGTCGCAAAATCGTTTTCAGTGTCTGATGACGAATTTCCCCAAGAATCATTATCACTCAATTCTGCAAGTAGTTCTAATTTACTATCGCTGTTCTCTAGCTGGTCTAAAACCGATTTTAACGTAAAGGGACACTTTTTGGATGCAATAGACGTTTCTCAGTTTTCGGGCAGAAGGAACAGTAAAAATGTAGGCGGGGCACAGGACAAAGCATTAGGGACAAAATGTATGTGAAATGGTTTGATACAGTAATGTTTTACTATGTTATTTTAGTGAATTTAGTGAATGTCACTTTTTGTCATTTTCAAATTTCCCGCCCTTCCGTCCCCGTAAGTCCCCGACATCGCAGGGAACGGAACCCGGAAGACAGATGCCGGAGGACATTACAGGGGACACTGCAGGCAGGGGGACATCGTGGGAGCGCAGGACAAGGTAAGAGAAGAAGAGATCCTGGAGCAGCACCGCATGGTAAGCCCGAGTGTAGCTCAGTGTTACCGCTTGTGGTACTGAAACTTTACCCCGAGCTACACTAGGGAATACTGCCAGGGAGGCTACAATGTATTTGTGAAACCACCCGGTCTTCGGGTTTTCCCAGTAGAAGCTTGCTTAATCACTAGAGAAAGTTCATCCTCTGAAAAAATAGTTTAGGTATCCAAGAATGGTGGCAGGGAGAAAAAAGGAGGAAAAGTAGTATCTGCAAGATTAGCAGACGTTTTAGCCAATTTATCCTCTGTAGGCTCTGAGCCAAATTTGTTATTTTAAATTATATAAGGAGAGGAAAAAAAAAATCCCTTTATGTGGAAAGTATGGTTGAATTAATATTTACTAAGTCACGGGTGGGGGACCTTAGAGATAGAATATTAAACTGTTGTGAGCAGGAATAAAGTAGGCATGCTAGTGAAAAGCTGATATTCATATGAAGATTTGAGGAAGCAGTAGCTGAAGGAATTTTGCTCTAAAAGTTGTAATTAAAAATATATATTTTTCATATAGTGTGATTTTAATTTAGATTTTTTACAAAGTGTGATTTTAACATTTTATCACAGGCTACATCTCTATATGTTACCCATTGTTATATCTGTGGGTGCTGTAAGTAATCAATCTTATGTGTTCTGTGTCTTGTGTTCATATATGGACTGTTATTTTGTTTTGGCTCCTATTTTCAACATCAAGGTCCTCTCGGCCTCCCTGAGGAAGAGCATAAGCCTAGAAACACTTTGGACTTTTGGACTTCATTGACCAGATCCAGATATATTTTATCCCATTGTGTGTTGGCATACAGGGGGTCATAGAAGATGCTTGTGTAGGTAGAGTCTTTTTGGCTATATGTCAATACCACTCAATTTCTGAGTTACAATGTTTTAAGCTTGTGTTTTAATGTGTATAATACATTTTGCTATATGTTTTTTATATAAATTACTTGGTGTTGTACCCTTCACAATCCCTGCCACCCACCACATACTAAGGTCTCATTTTTATTTTTGACCTTGTTAGACATGCGAGGGTGCCATTATTTGTTAATGGCAACACAAACAGATCTTGCAAATGCAGTATGTTTGTGACCACTAAACCACATTGTACCACAGTACTGTACCTTTTTAAATGGCTCGCCTGTCATATTTTTTGAGCATTCCCATGCATTTTGGTAACCCATTGAACTGCATAGGCTGTCAAAAATGGAATTCATGGTAATGTGCATGCATGAACATGTGTATTCTGGTGTGAACTGGCCCTGAATGTGTAAAAGGCCACTGCTGATTATCAGATCTAAAATATACAGTATATTACAGATGGATTATATTAATAAAGCATTCTCTATAAAAAAAAAAAAATTATTATATATATATATATACACAGTATAGTGCAGTAAAGTATATACAAAACCTATTCTCTTAGACTTCTGGTAAAGAACTTTCCTTGCTTTCTTTTCAGTTGTTCATTGTTATTATCAATACCAAAAGAAATGACTAATTAAAGTCAAAGCTGAAGTCCAAATAATGGAGTAAAAGCGCAAGTGAAATCATATATTAGGTAGTTTACATACCAAAAATGTTTAGTTCTGTTCAGCCAGTGTTGTGATTCAGGAACTCCTACCAGGTAACACAGCCAGGTCCTGGACCTCCCTGCAATGCAGCTGGTGACTGGGCAATAAAGCAACAGGAGAACTCTCATGAATTCATGACTCTGCTTGATCTTGTTTAGCCATTACATTTCATAATAGTTACAATATTCTATACCTTTTAGAAATCCCAGGTTGGGCTAATGTGAGGGACCGCCTAGCGGCACCACTAGCACTCCACCGGTCAGGCGTGCCCAGAGCGCGGAGTCTAAGCCCCAGAGTACTTGTTCACCAGAGCCCCTGATGGTGGGGGATGGACTTGGAGTACCCTGAGACCAGGTCGCAACTACTGAGCACACCTGTCAGTGGTAGCGGTGTTCGCCAGGGGCTCCAACCAGGGAGAGCCAGATCTGAGGAGGTCGGGTGACCCCGATGGGATGGATGGCTGAGCAAGTGCGAAGTCAGACAGGCCGAGTTGGTAACGTAGAGGACGGTATGGTACAAGGGAAGAGAATCGTCGGGTCACACGCCAGGTCAGCAACAGCAGGTCAGATCTAATGAGGGGCATTCAGAAGAGAGGTCAGGCAAAGCAAGGGTCTGGGCAGGAGAAATCAGCAGGTCAAGAGCAATCTGGGTCAAATAACTTACTAGGAACAGGTTCAGATTTGCAGGATACAGGTAGGACCAGAAGGCACTGAATGACAGCTCAGGGCCATTTAAATATCCCGCCCTGCGCTGCCATTGGTGCCCAGCGGGGCGGCCGCGGCTTCTACTGCGCATGCACGAACTCAAACGCCGCGGCCGGCCCGGACCTAGTGCCCGTGTCCCTGCGACGTCTCGGCTGCCGATGGAGTCTTCTGTAATGGTACGAAATGGGCCATTTTGGATAAACTGTCCACGACCACGAGAATTGCTGTGTGGTCTAGTGAAGGTGGAAGCTCGACTATGAAGTCCATAGAGATCTTCTGCCAAGGCCGTTCAGGAATGGGTAACAAACGTAGCAGACCCCAAGCCGTATTCCTTGAAGGCTTGTTCCTCTGGCAAATGACACAGGAGCCCACGTAGTTCTTACAATCCTTGGCCATGTCTGGCCACCAGAAGGAACGTCGGAGAAGTTCCAGGGTCTTGACCAGGCCAAAATGTCCTGCCATCGGGTGGTCGTGGCAATGTCCCAAGACTAGGGTTCAGGCTTCCTCCGGCACCACAATCCGGTCCTCCCTCCATAGGAGTCCCCCCTTGTTCTGGAGAGGTGCCCCATCGGGGGTAGACATGGCTGTGGATGCTCCCATTATCTTGGAGCGAAGGTTCGTCTGGAGGGCCAAGAAGTTTCCTACAGGTAGAATAGTGTCAGGTACTGGGATCTCCTTGGCATCCTTGTACATGCGTGACAACGCGTCTGGTTTCGTGTTTTTTGATCCCGGCCTGTACGTGATGTGGAAATGGAACCTCAAGAAAAACAATGCCCATCTCGCTTATCGTGGGCGCAAACGTTTGGCGGTCCTCAGGTATTCCAGGTTCTTGTGGTCTGTGAATATCAGGATGGGGTGTGAGGCACCTTCCAGCAGGTACCTCCATTCCTCTAATGCTGTCTTGATAGCCAATAGTTCTCGATCGCCAATGTCGTAATTCTTCTCTGCAAGGGTAAGTTTCCGTGAGAAAAATGCTACCGGGTGGAGTAATTCCTTGGCGCCCTTTCGTTGGGAAAGAATGGAACCAACCGCGTTCTCTGACGCATCTACCTCTAAGATGTAGGGCAGGGAGGCGTCAGGGTGACCCAGAATGGGTGCCGAGGTGAATAACCTCTTTAATGCTTCAAAAGCTTCCTGTGCCTCTGGCGTCCATCTGAATCGGGTCCAAGCTTGGTTAACTGAGTGATGGGGGAGACCAGACCCGAGAAGTTCTTGATGAACTTCCGGTAGAAGTTTGCGAACCCGATAAAATCGTTGGACGCTTTTTCTGTCCGTGGGTTCAGGCCAATCTAGGATCGCAGAGACCTTCTAAGGGTCCATTGCGACCCCCGCGGTGGAGATAATCAGGCCCAGAAATGTAATGCTAGATTGTTCAAAGCAACATTTCTCTGCTTTAGCGTACAACCCATGCTGCCGCAACACCTTTGCTACATGTACCCTGTGCTCCCCCAGGGAGGATGAGAAATCTAAAATATCGTCTAAGTAGACGATGACAAAGATATCCAGGAAGTCCCTAAAGATGTCGTTTACGAAGTGCTGGAAGGTGGCTGGTGCATTGCACAAACCGAAAGGCATGACCAGGTATTCGAAATGGCCAAAACGGGTGCGGAAGGCCGTTTTCCACCCATCCCCCTCCCTTATGCGAACCAAGTTGTAGGCTCTCCTTAAATCCAGCTTGGTAAACACTACTGCAGCCTTTAAACTCTGGAATAATTCCGGTACCAATGGTAGCGGGTAACGATTTTTGATTGTGACCCTATTCAGTTCCCGATAGTCAATACACGGCCTCAAAGTCTTGTCCTTTTTTTCTACAAAGAAGATCCCTGCACCTGCTGGGAAGTGGAGGGACGGATGAATCCCTTCCGGAGGCTGTCCTCAATATAGTCCTTCAGGGCCCCTAATTCAAGCTCAGAAAGGGGAAAAATTCAACGAAAGGGAATTTCTGAACCAGGTAACAGATCAATAGGACAGTCATACGGGCGGTGGGGGGGTAGAGTATCTGCTCCCCGTTCACTGAACACATCAAGAAATTCATGATAGGCTGCAGGAATCACTTGTTTTAAGCTGGCATCCCCTTCAGAGCACAGGAGGACCTGGGGGACCTCCGGGCCCGAAGTTCGGCAAAGTTCCTGACAGTATGGGGAAGGGAACGAGATAACCCCAGTTTCCCAGTCAATTTTGGGGTTATGGGCCCGCAACCATGGGAGCCCCAGAATGACTGGGAAAAGGGGTGATGCAATAGCATCCAGGCGGAGGAGCTCCCGGTGCTGGCCGGCGATGGAAGTAACAATGGAAGGGGTCTCCTGGTTAACCACCCCTGATTTTATCCGGGAACCATCGGCCAAAAAGATGTGAAACCCCTTCTCCTTTGGATGGAGGGGGATACCCTGCCGGTGAGCAAAATTGATATCCACAAAACAGCTGCATGCCCCCGATTCAACTATGGCCGTCACCTCCACGGTCCTTTCTGAAAGCTGAAAGGAGAGGGGCACAACTAAGTATTGGGACGGATTCATATTGCCAATAGATAAGGAAGATGAGGTGAACTTACTCAGTTTTCTACGGGCAGGAACGTACCATGTGACCAGCTTCACCGCAGTAGAGACACAGGTTCTGGGAGCGTCTGCGCTGGCGTTCCTCTGGCGGTAGCTTAGGCCGTGCCAGGCCTAGCTGCATGGGTTCGGGAGCATCCTCATACAGCAGGTTCTGGATGTTTGGCCTAGTAGCTTGACTGGATCCTTGGAATGACCCCCAGGGTATTTCCGCGACCCTGACCAGACCTCTCCAACCTGCGCTCCCGTAGTCTA